TGAAGTGAAAAATGAAATGCACATCAGTTGTCAAGAGATGAATAAAAATGCTGGTTTTACCCACCTGCTCCATTAGTTAGCTCGTTTGAAAACTTTCACTTATTGCTTCAATGCAGCGTTAACTAAGGTTGAGGATATTTGTTTTTCGGAAGAAACATCCCAAACCAGTGTTCTCTATTTCTTTTGTGTTCCAACCCCGCCACCATCGCCTAACTTTACCTATGGCAGCCCTTTAATGGGCCGCTTCCCCTTCCTGAAAATTGTGTCTTTGCGTATTCAATAAAAGGAAGTAAAATAATAATAATAAAACATCAAAATCAAAATAACAACAAGACCCGAAATTACAGTGTCAAGGATGACCGCTCTGTTGTGCTCGCATGTATAACAATGTGAACTATGCCAAATAAAACATCTTGATCGGCCCACTCCCTCAATATGCGTTCTTTTTATTGAGGGCTAGCAAAACCACTGTAAAAAAGGTATGATTAAGCTGAACTGAGCCATCAAAATAAGGTGTGAAACGGTTTGGGCTGTGTTAAACGTTGTGAGTCAGTCACGTGGAAACATGTACGGATAACCGACAAAATCGGTGATCATGATCAGTCTTCACGATAAAGATCTAGAAAATATCAATCGGGTGTTGCTTTCCAAAGACTGTTTCAAGAGCCGGTAGGCGTGTTGGATGGCAGATCTCTTGTGCGTCAATGACACATTTAAACAAGAAAAGCTAGAAATTTCCGGATAGATTAGGTGGATGAAGTAGTTTAAAAGCGGTATGAACGATAACTTATTCAGAATTTATGACAATGGCTCAATCCATACCTTTGGATATTTTTACTGATATTGCTAACTTTGGTTGGAATCAAGGCCAAAGGACTTATTACTCGCTGGGTTGTAAGTTTGCCAAAACTATGATTTGGGGTAAAAAATAGTGCAGAGTCCAACTGAAAATTCATCGAGCAGAACGGGGAAGGGAGGCGAGAAAAGAAGCAAATCAGACTATAGCTGATTACAAAAGGCTTCCCGTTTGAATACAAATTCATACCACAGAGTACGGAGATAAGGATGAGAGAAAGAGTTTTGTTTCGGTTCGAAATGGATTTACAGTATCAGTGCACGGAGTGGTTCACACAAACCAGATATCTTACTTCAATCACGTTTAACCTCCCCTTCCACTCCAATAGGGATTATCTAGACTGTATCACCAGGGCTTGTTTTCCTCTGGATTGGAGCAAGCAGTTATGTGGGGTAGGAGCAGTCAAGCGAGATGAGATGGTTCGCACTTTTTTGATCGAATCCACCTCTCTACATTGAAACATGCATGGTAGTAGGGAAGTGATGGTATCTGGTCTTGGCACATCATGTGTGCGAGCATTATGAACCACCGAAGCGTTATCGCGATAGGCGCGTTCAATCAACAACAACAACAACAACCCACCCCAGCTTTCCGACCGCGCATGGATAAACACATTTCAGCTTGGTGATCGAGTTCTATTTGGGAAATTGGCGGATGGACATGATGTTCAGTTTCATAGTCAGGTTGATTTTGTATCGAAATGTGTTTTTCGACTGGAAAAGAAACCTAACGGCCAGGTGGTTTTCAGTCAGGGATTGGGTAAACGTTTGTAGGGGTGTTTTCTGCATTCATCTGATCAACAGAGTCGTGAATCAAATTGTAAAAATCACCATTGCAGTGTTTATGAATTGACATCAGAACACGTGTTGATAACTTTGTTCGCGCGACAGAGATTCAATCCGCAGCTCATTTTGGTTTATGCTCGATAAATTGGTCGAAAACATTAAATCTATGCCAAACTTTGCAAAATGGATCTTTGTTGTGAGAATCGCATCTGCTGATTAATGAAGGAGCCACATCTTGACTGGCCCAAAACCTACCTGTTGGGAAAGCAAAACATAAATCAGTTGATTACACCATGATTCAAAATTTTGTAGAAGAACGAACACTCAATACTGAAAAATGCCATGCAAACAGGAATACAGATGATCGGGGTCAGATCAAACCGCTCATACTCCTGAAATAAACATTTAATTCAGAGTCCTAAAGCGCCCTCTCTAAGCTGAATTTACCCATGTTTTTATATAATGGTGCTACAGAGGTATCAAATCGATTGAGATAATATATGTTGGAAGAAACCATAAAATTTGTAAAACTACTGGATAAAGCAATGAAGATCTCGACATGAAGGCAGCCTACGAATAACTAAGGAATCAGCCCAATTGAAACAGAGACAAAATAACCAAAGTAATGATGATACTTATGACCTCAAGCCATAGCCATACCTAGAAATTGACGTATAAGTCAGGTACTGTTTCGTCAAGAGGCCTATCAGACTGATGGATCACTCCACCTGAAAGAGAAAAACAAAGCAACACTTCCAGGGAACGCTACTTTAGGACTAACCTTGACAGAGTAAACTAACTTGGTAAGAAAGATTTCGAAAGATAAAACACTAATCTGTAAAGCTGCTGACCACGATGGGTAAAAACTTGAATAAACAACGGTTTTACAGCCAAGGTAATCAACAAAAGATTGATGGAAGGTGAAAATGTACCCAAAGGCCAAGTCGTGCGCTCAATAATACTGTGAGCGAAACCTGAGCACTTAAGAACTATTGGAAGTCAGAATTTCAACATATCACTAGTGAATACCATCGTTTTACTCACTGCAAATAATATCCAGATTGAAATGTCAAGATAGAATAAGCGAAAAGAGTATATTTGGTGGTTTACCCTGCATAAGGATTATCTTTTCGAAGTAACAGTAGTTTTCTTAAAACTTTTTTAAACTTTCATTTATTTTATATATAGTAATGTACTATCCATATTCAGGAAGGGACTACATTCGGTCTATCGATGGTGGTGGTAGTGCTGCCGCAATTGTGTGAAACGATGAACTGGGGGCTTTGGTCGCTCGATTATTACCGAATGCTGTATAACTATCACGTCGGTATTTCACAGCGAACTTAACGATCGACTTGTTAGAAACGTATTTAAGATACAACAACTGTTTTGTATTTTTCAAGTGACAGTAAAGCCCCTACGAAAGAAACGAATCATTCGAACACAGTACGTGTAGCTGGCATTCGGTACGACGTGTTGTCGCAGTACACACACAGAGTTGTTAAAAAGTAATTTGTGCGTGTCGTGTATAGTTAGATGAGCATGGTTCTTTCGAAAACAACTTTCAATTATTGCTTCTAAAGATGTTATCGATCAGTCAGCGAACTGAGGGATATTGAGAAAACAGTATCGTATGAAGCCGTTCAATCCTAGGCAACAGCAGCTTTCTATATTTTCACCGTTGACACTAGTTGCTGTAGTTATAACATTGAAAAATCCGTGATTACTCCAGTTCAAGTTATTTATTTTTTCATAGCGAAAACCTATGGCATGTCAAAAGTGAATATATATATATATATGTATGAAAAACAAACCCACTGTTGCGAATGACTTTCAGCCTGATTATCAACACAGTTTTGTTTATACGTAAAACCACAAGTATCTCTCATGGGAGAAACGAGTGTGTTCATTGATTGGAGAAAGCAATGTACTTGCGAAGGTTACGTTTTTTCTGAACGTGACATGTGTACTACATCAAACACTGACTCTCATACATGTAAACAGACCACACTTTTAGTTTTGTACAACTATTTACCATGCAACTTTGTGCGGTGGTTTTGTTTGTTGTCTTTTGGTTGCTCATTTGGATGAAGGAGAAGAACGATTGAAAATTGAAAGTAGAGTCGAAGAGAGGGTGGAAAATTCCAGCAGACTAAGGTTCCAAAGAATATGCACAAGCACCACTGTTTACGAAACTCAGACATCACTCAGTTTCTCTAACCATTGATTACAATGATCCCGATCTCCATTCAGGGAACATAACGCGATACTAGGTACAAATCAGTAATGCGAGCGATAACTATGCAAATCGTATTCAGATCAGAACTGTGTTGTAAAAGTTACCTAGCTTTTCAGTTTGTGTTCTAATTTCTATAGACAACGAAATGACTGCGTACGTATTTAAGATTGAATGGCACAGTAAGGTTATTAGTCATTCGATGTTTCGGTTACCATAAGTAACCTTTATCCAGACAAGTTTATCATCAAATAGTACTATTTTGCTGTTGAGCATCAAAAGTATCGCGTTCATATGTTTCTGGCTGTTCGTGGAAGTGTGAATGGCTCGAGCCGATTCTGAATGCCCCTTGCTCTGATTCGCGTCATTAATAATCGGATCGCTTAAGATAAACAAGAAGTAGAAATTCTGAGTATATTTATCAATCAGCCCTCGCATGTTTAAATGTTTGAAACCAGGCACAAGAATATCAGATTACCGTGTGTTGCCTTAAAAAATCTTCACCAATGGGAGAGAGTAAAAGATACTTTGTAAGCGCGTTACATCAAAACGTTCTAGCTCGAAATTTCGTGAACAGAGTTGATGCTGAACCTGTAAATAAACTGATTACAGCAGTGATCTGATGGAGTCACTGACAGAATGAAGTTTGAAGTGTGCTCAGCGATTTACTGGCCAAAGTTAATTTCCTTTTCACCAATGGTGCTGTCGTAATGATAACAGAAATTACTTACCGACAGTTTAAAACGATCAAGTTCTATTGATGTAAATAGACAACACCTGTAACTGGTTCGCCGTCAAAAACCGATCGTCCACCGTGCATGCACCTCCATAGGCTTAGCTGGCCATTAGTCATCCAAATAAAGTAACTTGACACCGGTAAAATGCAATATAATCGTTTTACACACTAAAGGCTTTTTGATAGAATATATATATAAATGTATATATATAACCCATTGTAAACTCCGAAGACGGGTGTCCCAAACGGATTACGATTTCAAACTAAACGATAGTGCAATCTTCATGACACTAGTAAGAGAGCATTCGAATGATGGTATATTCACTCTTGATAAGCGCTAATGGGATTCGGTTCAGTGGAGCACCTACCAACAACACGTCTGTGGAGTTAGGGAATGTGCTCCAAAGTGCCTGAAATAGTGTCACAGAACAACATGGTGATTGGATTTTGCATGAAACAGTCCACAATACAACTGAATTGTGAAATGTTTCAATCCTTAAGTGTCGTGCTGCTAAGACCATATGTTATTGAAACGATTCCTTTGAACAGCTTGTTGTAGTTTAATTCACTTTGTAATGACATGAAAACCTATAGTATATTTTTAGAACTACATGGAATTCGAATAATAATAGTAATACTGATAACAAAATGTGATCTAAATAATAACAGTTTTATAGGCCATTCGTTAACGATAGATACAACTTGTGAAAGCAAATTACGGGAGTAGCTGTTTGTTTTTCGACTACCAGTAAAAGTAATGGGGTTTGAGATACAAAACGGCTTCTAGATGACTGGTTACTACCATGCAATACGGCCTCAAAGAATCTGTGGGAAGCTATCAGCAAGTGCGCATACGCTTACTTTTACATTTTTTATCCTTCTAATTATATTTGACGAGAATTTGGTAGTACAATGCCACACTCACCGCCTATTGGTATTTGCCGAGAAAATCAACGTCTATGGAATCCTGAGTCCAAGCCTTACTGTAAATATATATGTATATATATACAAATATATATATATATATGTACGATATATTAAAGATTTATTATAGTTGCATAATACTGAGACATTTGTCAGAGCGTTAGGTGGTACTTCGAAGAGAGACCCTTATCTGCGAAATGGATAATTCCAATACTGAAGTGCCTTGATACACATCCTATGTAAAATGATCATATGATTGGTGCGAAAGTCAGTTTGATGAGAGAACCCACTGTATAAAGGCCAGCTGCATCACGATCACTTCCCCGGCCAAGATCTTTGAGGTGATTGAAAACCACTTCAAACACAAAAGCATCAGTATACAGCTTTTAGTCAGTAAACAACTTTCAACCGAATCGGTGTAAAAACCACTGTACCGGTTCAGCAGGACTGATGAGCGGCAAACCACGAACCGAGTGGCATTTATAATAAGAATGATTCTGGATTATCCATTACACAAGCAAAAAGCTGTCGCAAACCCACTTGTGCTTGGTGGAGAACATATGCGGAGTGAATGGTTCTAGAATGAAGTTAGAATACCGGTACAGCTTAAATGAATCTCTAATTTCAAGATAGGTTGGTGTTTGATGCATTAAATGAATGAAATTGGATGCCATTTACCTTATCCTTTCTATAACGTATTTGGCCTGTGTAGTGTATTTATGAACTGAAGAGAACCTCTAAGGAAGCAAAAACTGCAAAACAATGAAGTATAATAATAATAATCATAATAAATACTGAGTAGCGAGTTAACGACTTTTGAGTGAAATGAATATGAGTAAACACAAAGGTACTGATAAAAAAGAATGAAAGATAGTCCATCAGTTTATGTCCATACGCACTGTACTTTTTGAGTGTGAACCAAAGACATTCTTGTTCACACAAATGTTAAGATTTCTTTTATTAATGTTTGGCAACAGCAATCTGTTGTCATTGTACAGATTTAGTAGACGACAAACTAACAAACCACTCACTTTTGGGAGGACTGTAATTAGTGAGTTGTGAGAACGAAACACATTTACCAAAACAATATGTTCATAACAAATACGCATGATACTTATCTTTGCACTGTGACATTTTTAATTGCGGTATCAAATCGCAAACGAACGATTCGAAACAGATTGGAAAGGAGGAACAGGGGGGCAATTCATAGGGTAAATGTGGTCTGTGATCCGCACAACTGCAGCAAATTTACATGATACGGCTTCGAAAAGTCACGAAAACTGGTCGTCTTCAGATTGCAATTCATATTAGATGTAAATATCACGGAACGGTACGATGTATTTTTATGTTAGTAACTTATTCCCAACGGACAGAGTAGCGCTGAACAAAACATGAAACGGCGATAATAAATAGTGCATCAAACATTGTACGAGAGCATGTGTTGATTCGCAAAGGCTGCAATTGAAAACATCTGATCGCTGCTCTAAAGACTTCATCGGCACGAAGCAAGATCCTATCAAGGTACATGATGGTTTATTTTTATTTCCTTTTAAAATATTCGCATTCGAATTATGGAGGTACCATTAGATTTAGATATTTCGCAAACCAGTTTATAAATTGGTAGATTGCACCAAATCGTTCCGTGATTACTTCATAACACCCGAAGGTGAGCGAACGCACACATGCAAATTGTTGAACAAACCCCACTACTACTTCTGCTCGCTTAGCGATAAATTGTTTTCCGAATTTAGTCTAAATCACCTTTTACATGATCAAGTTGCTAATGAAGGGAAACAAAACCTATGAAGAAACGCATGAGCTAATAAATCGAGAAACCCAAGCCACCCCATCAGAGCTAGTGAAAATGCTGCTCCAGACACAAAACATGGCTTGTAATACACGGTTCACAATCATGTTGTGATAGGACAGATTGCGGACTCAATTTTACGGACTCATCATTTGTTGTTCTCGTTAATGCTACTGCTTCACTCAGTGAACATTGCACGTTTCGGTTGGCAAACCCTTCATGGACGAACAGCACATGTTTTGATCGCTGCAAATCGACAGGGAGGAATAGGCATTCTGCCTCCAACTACTGGTTTAGTCTGTCACACACATACACACAGAAGCACAACTAGTGTTGCCAACTTGTTGAGATTCGGCTAAAGCAGACCAGGTTTACTTTTCAGTTCTTTTTTAGGTCTTGCACGCAATAATTTGATTTTGAATTGGCTCAGAAAATTGAATCGAACTTTATTCTTTTGATAAAATTATTTCAAATCAAATTACTTGCAGGAAAATAAGGAGACATTGCGTTTTTAAAATGTGGATCCCCCCTCTCCTAGAAAGAAATTGGGTCTGATCGCACAAAAACGCGTGTTGCATTCAAAAAAGCGCATTCGGGGAGCGCAAAATCTTGGTGATCGTTTATGATCAACAGAAAAACGTTATGGTGCACTCACTCTAGCCCCTCAAGCCATTGCAAATGATTCATGAAGCCACCAACATGCAGCTGATATGATGCCTCATTCGCAATTTAGTTAGTTAAGGTAGACTTTATGCTCTGAATATTTCAGTTATCAGAAGCTGGCCAAATTTACGGTGGGGTTCAAAGTATAAGCGGTTCAAAAATGGAACAGAAAAACAGAAACAGGTAATGATACTGAATCGTCGTGCAAAAGTTGATGCTTAAGATTCTAAAACGTTTGTATCTATTCGATCAAAAGCAATACCGACAAGGAATTATAACGTTCTTACAAGTGACAAAACGAAAAAAAACAAGAATTTAAATTTGGAGTTCGTATAATAATGACATGCAAATTTCTCAAGTCTCTGAAGAAAACAATGGTCTTGTTACGCTATATATATTTTTGAAATAATAACCTGCGAACAACAAGATCAATATTGTCAACGTGGCTATCGGGTTCCGAGACAGAACAGTACCCAGATAACTAACAGAGTTGGTTTTGGGTCGATTTTGAATAATAGTATTGAGATGACGAGGAATATTACAAATCAAGGTACGATGGTGAAAGTGAGATTTTGGAGTGAAAAGAGCATCAAAACCTTTGGCGCAATGCAGTACAAAATAGAGCGAGGCAAATTACAACTAAAAATATCAGTCAGGCTATTCGGCAATTGAAGAAAATGGTGATTACTAGAATGAGGACACTCAGTCACTACACAGGCATCAACTCCGAAAGTAACGATGCCACGGAAAACGGGAATACCGATGACGTAAGATGAGGGGATGAATGAAGACAAAACAACACTGATTTTGAGTGAGAATGTTGAGAAAAGAATAAAGGGGTAACATTAAAAAATCAGTTTTGGGTATTCAACCAGAATAGGACTCTTACTGCTTAAAACACATTATTTCTACCACTATGTCGGAATTCCCGGATCCTGTTTTCAATTGTCCGACTGATTTATGTGAAAATAACTTTGAATCCATGTTTTCTCAGTTGTCGTTACAAATTTTTCCGAATAATACATCAACCAAATGAGGTTTAGGAGCAAAATAGCATTCAAAAGTTTGGCAACTGTGAAGCCCACATAGAATGAACCTCTTATACGTATTGTGTTGTATTGTACTAACTTCTGTAGGCATGAGACCTACATTTCAGTTAAATTTACAGGCTGGAGCGAAGGAGAAAATAAAATAAGGATTTGAATCCCAGAACTGCTAACAAAGTCTGTGAAAACCTGTTCTTTGTTAACTAGAATACGTCTTTCAAGAGGGAAAAAGATATGCGGTCCACGAATACGTTTAGGATGAAAATGAGTGAGACGAATTTCAGCCTGCCATTGATTTTCATGATGGCAATGTGTGCACTTTAATTGGTTCTCAGTTTCAGCGGACGTGCGATCTAACAATCGAAATGAAGTGTAGGTGTCAACCCTTTCACTCACACTTTGATTTGATGGTGGGAACGTCTATTACTAGTCCCCGTTCCAATACCAGACCAATTGCTAGAGGACCTGCCAGCTTAAGTCTGACTTGCCGTATAAGTTACCGCATTTTTTTTATGCGCAATGAAAACCTAAAACCCAGATTTATTCCGTACGTGTCTAGCACTTTATGTATACGTAAACCGAAAAAAAGCTTGGCACAAACTAAAACCGGTGAGTAAGCATTATCAAGCTAGTCTAAAAGGACACAAGCGGAATAGGATCAGATAGAAATAAAAGAGATTAAACGAAATAAATGGATGATCAATTGTGAGAATACAAAATGCACTAAGAGCGATGTGAGCAAAACAAATGAAAAAGAAAAGAAACAACACACAAACGTACCTTCATTCCAAACCGGGCTCTTGTTGTGAAGTTCCATCAAACCGTCCCATGACTTCTGTTTCCAGCAGTCAAGCAATGTACCTCGGGCCTATAACAAAAAAATGAGCGAGAATGAGAAAAGTATGGGATCATCATGTCAACGAGACAACGGTCACCGTGAACTGATTTGGTCACAACACGCTTCAGTTATATGCGGATTCAAATACACTTTTATCCCGGATGAAAACAGAACGCGGAAAACAACTAGCATCCATTTGAACGAACTAATGCTCACGGAAAGTGCAAAAAGACACTAAAAGGATACGTACACAATTCATCATAGGAAGACAAAAATCCAAGGCCAGCAAACGGAGGGCGTGGTCAACGTGTCAACTAGTTGTTATGGTTACAAGCACGAGAAGATAAATTGCGATGCTTAATGTACCCAGCCACTTGGGACAAAATCAAAACTAACAGATAAGTAGATTGTCGTTCACTTAGGCATTTAGTAGCTTTCTTTCCCATTGACTTTATTCACCCACTTACTTCTCCAGTATTAAACACATTCATTCAGGAACCTAGTGT